GAAGCAACTGAACAGAGATGCCTAAAACCCACCCCCTCTGTGCCTTAGAATCAGGAGGCTTCCAACATCTCGTCTGTAGGAGAATGTCAGTCAGTCTGGTTGTCACTAAGATGGGAACTCCATGGAGACAGAGACTGTTTGGCTCCCTGATCTAGTCTCTACTCCTGTAACAAAGTCTGGCACAGGTTTGGTGCTCAACTGATAATTGTTAAATGAACAAATGAATAAAAATGCCGAATCAGCTTTTGCCCGTTATGCAAAAGTCTAATGCCATAATGCTGCTTAGTGAATTATGCCTAGTACTCTGATGATCCCTTTGAGAGTTGGAATTGAAACATAAACATCAAAGTCAAGAATGAGGCAGCCATGCCTATCCTAGAAGAATGGAGAAGCAAGAAAAACTGATCTGCAAAGAGAGGAGAACGTAGCAAGTACTCAGAAAGAAGCAGAAAACTGGATGGTCCTGGAAGGGCATGGTCATCTTAGTCTACAACTCTCCTATCCAAAGTTCAGTCCTTTGAGATTTTATGCTTCTTGCCCTTGGGCTCTTGTATTCTAAAAATATTATTATTATTATTTTAAAGATATGGTGTACAATTCGCGATTAAGTACATAAGTGTTCAACATACAGGTGAAGTTTGGGTCTCTCATTGTATTATATAAATATTTAGGTTCTTTGTGTTAGAATGCTTTTGTTGTCTGTATTGTTAAAATATAAAATCATAGTCCCGCGCCTTGGGAGGCTGAGGTGAGTGGATTGCCTGAGCCCGTGGGTTCGAGACCTGCCTGGGCAACTTGGTGAGACTTCATCTCTACAATAAATCAAGAAATTAGCCAGGCATGGCAGCGCGCACCTGTAGTTCCAGCTACTTGGAAGGCTGAGGTGAAAGGATCGCCGGAGCCCAGCAGGTCGAAGCTGCAGTGGCCGGGAGCGGATAACCTTTTTAAAGTTTGGTTGTTAGCTGTGTTCTTATAATGTCTCCTTTTTGTCTCAGATTGTTTTGAGTGGGTTTCTGTTTCTTGTATTCAAAATAAATTACCCTGTTTTTTGTTTAAGTTGATCTGAGTGGGTTTTGCCATCTGAAACTGAATATTCTCTAAGATTCAATCAAACTGTTTCTACTTGGGAAGCTAGATGTGGAGAAAGGCTCCTGGTCTCTCTGCCTTGGGTCAGAGGAAGAGTTGACCTTAGTGAGTGGTTTGCACTATACTAAGCCCAGCTGAGTCTGGCAACATCTCTCTATGTGGGGCTCTTGTAGGCTTCCCTCATCTCCCAAGGTAGGCTCCCTGAAGCCACAGTTCCCAGGAGATCCAGGTCCTCAGCATTAGCAGAGCCCTGGATCTCTCTAAAATACAGACATAGATGACCTCTGGATGCATTTGCCAATTCTTCTCTTCCTTGAAGGTCCAGCCCTGTCTCAAGATGTAAGTTCTCACTGGGCTGTATCTCCATCTATGGTGTTCTACAGACTTACAGAGGGTAGGGGGTCTAAATTCTTTGCCATGGACTGGAGGATTATACGGGGCACATACATCCATACAAATATTCACATTATCAATATTCCACACTCATATATAGTGTGCAAAACATTATGCCCACACTTCATGTCTTTAGTAAACAAAAATGTAAAAGAAAATATACTATGTTTCACTGGGCTAGTCCATGAAAGGGGGTCTGTACCCTTCTCTCTTCCAAACAAAGGCACAATTATACAGGAAAAGGCAATCGGGTGGAAGTGGGTGGATGGAAGTGACTACCGGCGCTGGGCAGTCTTCTAGGTGCTGTGCCTGTTTCCTAACCCTCATAACAGTTCCTCCATTTAGTGTTTTTTCCTACTTTTGCAGATGAGGAAGTGGATGCTCAGAGAAGTTAGGCAACTTGTTTCAGACTGTACAGTTAATAATAGTTAATGATAGAGCCCAGCCTATAATAGTTAATGATAGAGCTCAGCCTATAAAGAAAGACATTGAGCATGGGAGGATATCATCAGGGCCATGGGATCTGATAGCAGAGTGGACCCACTCCAGGAATCTAGGGATCCTGGAATAGGCAGAAGGAGTCCAGAGGGTCCAGAGGGTAAGACAGGTCCCTGGGTTCCATCAAATGGGCTGCCAGGCCAGAGGACTAGGGAGATGGTAGGGAATGACAAATATTAGGAGGTGTGCAATCTGGGAAGGAAGGAAGGAAGGAAGGATGGAAGGAAGAAAGGAAGGAAGAAAGAAGAGAGAGAGGGAAGAAAGGAGGTGAGGAAGATAGGAAGGCAGGCAGACAGCTTGAGGTTCTCAACAGGCACCCACTCAAACACTCACATTTATCTTTGTACCACTACAGATCCTAACAAAGCAGAGAAGGGTCCATCAGTAGGCTATGCTTGCCCTCTACCTTCTCTCCAGTAACTAGCCTTCCTTCAGCTTCTTGGCTGGTGCAGATGGCAGCTGGGAAGGCCTTATTCCCTGGGCCTTTTTGAACCTGAGAACCCTTCTAGGTGCCATCTTGGACCAAAAGGTCAAAGTGGAAAGAGCTCAACTGGGAAAGAGGACTTGGAGGTGTGGTTCTCAGCCTATGGATTTCCCTGGAGAAGTCTGGAAGGAGAGGTGGCCACAGCCAGGTTGCCATGAGCAAGGTGATAGGGGTGGGAGCTGGGGGAATTTATACTCAGTAGCTTACTATATCCACGGAAGGTGCCATGAAACCATCTTATAAGAATGAGGCTGACAGAGTGACATTTGGGGTGAAATTTTGGAATCTCCGTTAAGGAGAAAAACACAATTGTGACAAATCAGAGGCAGCTCCAGGGGTAGCTAAGGATTGGCTGGGGGAAAGAACACTACTGTATTGGCTCTAAGAATCATGTTTGTGTAACTTTGCCTGGCTCCCCTCAGTTATTTGGGTGCGGGTTTCACAAGGGGTGCAATTTTGCAAGGTTATGCAATGGAAGGACCAGGGAGCAGGGAAATTGAGGGTATCTATGAGACTATGAAGAAAGAGATAAATAATAAGAAAAATGATGCTGATGATATGGAAGTGAGAAGCAATGGAGATCTCAGGTTGGGTCCAAGTCGTGTCTTCTGTTAGAATTCCAAGTGTCTAACTGTTCTGGTGTGAATATGTGGAGAAGGGGCTGGGTATAGGAAGTTTACTGAACGGCAGGTGCCTGAAGAAGAGGGGATGACAATATATGCATCCCCCAGGCCAGCTCCATGAGGCAAGAATACTACAAGCAAAACACCTGTGTGCACCAATCTGCTAGAACTGCACCTGATGAACAACAGACAGTTAGGAACTATGATGGGTTCAATGAGTTGATGGATATAAACTATTTAGATAGCAGTGGCAGTTGGTAAAGACTAAATTAGCTATTGCTATCATTAGTATTATTTGTGAGCTCATGTCAGATATTCCTATGGGTTGCCAGAAATATTTAATTAAAGGACACTTTAAAAGGTGGCTGAGGTTCTACATTATGCAAGTGGGGAACATGAGCCAGAAAATTTTTAATTTTAACTGGTAATGTGACTCTATTTGTATATGCAAGTTGATGAGGCCTGGGTGAACTTGGGTTATAATAACAATAAAAGAATCTATTATCCCTAGAGTATTGGTAGAGTGTTTAGTATATACTGGGCATTATACTTATATATAAATAAATGTATGTCTATGTAATATGCATGTATAAAATATCTTTTAATCTTAACATTCTGAAGCATAATTAGTTATTATCACCACCACTTTATAGATGATTTTTCAAGAGATAATAACTTGCTAAGCTCACAAATCAAGTAAGAAAGGGAACTACTATTTGGATAATGGAGTTTGGGATAATTAGAGAAGAATAAAAGGTCAAAGAGATGAGAAGAGTAGAAGAAATTGGAGTGCCTGTGAGCCTGGAACTACTCTTACTACCACTACAAAAATTATAATCAATATTACAGGCCAGGTGTGGTAGCTCAAACCTGTAATCCCAGCACTTTGAGAAGCTGAGGCGAGAGGTTCGTTTGAGCCTGCAGGTTTGAGATCAGCCTGGGCAACATGGTGAGACCTCATCTCTACAATAAATAATAGAAAAAGAAAATTAGCCAGGTGTGGTAGCGCACGCCTGTAGTTTCAACTACTTGGAAGGCTGAGATGGAAGGATTGCTGGAGCCCAGCAGGTTGACGCTGGGATGCCATGATCATGCCACTGCATTCCAGCCTGGGTGATGGAGTGAGACTCCGACTCAGAAAAAAATTATAGAATGCATAATACGTGCCAGGTACCGTACCAAGAACTTTAGGGTATAACCACACCCATTACTTATGTTTAGTCTACAGTTGTTTTAGTGCTACAATGGCAAAGCTGAGGAGTTGTGATAGGTAAACCTATAATACTTACTATCTTTATGAGAAAAGTTGTTGACTCCTGTCTTTGACTCTTACTCTACTGAGTTTGTCATAATTAATTCAAAGGTTTGGCAAAGGGAGTAAGACAGTGTTAAGGATGAGCAAACATGATCTGGAAGTATCAGTGGCCAGTCTATGACAAGGTGCCAGATTATGGCCAAAGAGTGTCCTTGGGACAAGAGGTCCAAGTGCTGTGACCCTCAGATTGTATGGGCTGTCCATATGGGTGTTGGAGTTACCCAGGATGGTGAGAGGCTTTGGGTAGAGAGGAAGATCAAGAACTCTCCTTCATGAAGGGGAGGAACCAGGAAGATATTAGCTGATAGGTATGGAGTAAGGCTATGAGACTGAGGTAGAGCTAGGAATGACCCTCATAAAAAATGGGGAGAAGAGGAGTAATGGTTTGGAAATAAAAATATGGTGCAAAAAGAATGCTGGCCCTTTTCCCTCCTAGCCCTGGGGTCTATGGGGGCTGGAAGACTAAGCCATCTGAGGGGCCTCAGGGAAGGCAGGTTTTCTGCCAAGATTGACATGGGCTCTCTGTAGTCCAGACCAATGTCTTCCTCACTGCAGCTCTATTGTCCCTGTCCTCAGTACTCTCTGGCACCAGGACCCTTACCTGTATAGTCAATGACGAAGCCAGCATTGCTCACAGATGCATCGCTGCGGAAGGCGAGGAAGAGGCTGTTGCTGCTGCTTTCAATGCGGCCTGGGAGCTGGGAGCCATAGAAGCTTCCTATGAGGGGGCTGAGAGAGTCCCGTCCGTCGTAGATATGGAGGAAGTCATAGCCAGGCTCCAAGTTAAAGCTGGGGAACAAAAACATCCCACCCCCACCCCACTAAGGTCAAATAAAGGCTCATGCTGGGGCTATTGTCTTAGCCAAAGGATGAGGCCTCCCAGAGAGCAAGCCTACCATCCCACTGGTACCCAACCCCTGAAGATTGGCTGGTGGGGAGGGAAGGTTGAAGCCCTGATAATCCCCCAGAAGGATGAGAAGATGGATGAGACAGGCTCAGGGGTGGAGGAGGCAGATTTCAGAGTCAGTGCCTAAAAATCTAGAGCTGAAAACCTAATGCCCTCCTTACATGGAAGGGAAAATGAGGTGGCAACTCTAGACATAAAACACAGGTCTCTCACCTGACACTAATGTTTTTGTACTGTGCTAATTTGCACCACCTTTTCTAAGAGGGAACAAGCTACCCAGGGCAACAATTCCAGGCAGGAAGGGATTTGTTACCACAAACGACCTAGCTTCATGCCTTTATTCCAAGCTAGTACTCCAACTCTCCTCAGGGTTTACTACCACCCCACTCCTAGCATCCACATATGTCCTCTCTTTTTGCCACTATGAACCTGGTGTGTAAGAAAACCCCATTTAAACAACTTGGTTGAATAAATGGAATATTAGAGTTAATAAATGTAGTTTATCCCACTGGAATGGCTAGAGTGAACATGTTGGAAAATGCCAAGTTTTGGCAAGAATGTGGAGTCACTGGAACTCTCAGGCCTGCTAGTGGGAGTATAAATTGGTTCATCCACTTTGGAAGACTGTTTCATTGTATCTACTAAATCTGAACATATGAGGGGTCTTCAAAAGGTTCATGGAAAATTGTGCATGAAGTTCAAAATTGTTTTGCAACAAAATGAATTCATACTAACTTACTATAACATGTCTCAACAGGATCTAGTCTGAGGGACTAAGAAGGATAAGACATCAATTTGAAAAGATTCCCCCATCAGAGACACATGAATTCTACTAAAGTTGAAGCAAAAACAAACATCAAATTTATGGTGAACCTTGGGTATAAGAGAGGTAAAATGCTTTACAAAAAGTTGATGGGAACACTGCCCCAAAGAAATTGGCAGTTTACAAATAGATAACTTGTTTTAAGAAGGAAGGAGACAATGTTGAAGATAAAACCCACATTGGTAGACCAGCCACATTAATTTTTGAGGAAAAAATTAACTGTGTTTGTACCCTAATTGAAGAGGACTGACTATTAACAGCACAAACAATAGCTAAACTACAAACATCTTAACTGGTTCAGCTTACATAATTATGATTGAAAAATTAAAGTTGAGCCAACTCTCTACTTAATGGGTGCCTAAACTGTTGTGCCTAGCTCATATGCAGACAACAGCAGAGCTTTTAAATGAAATTTCAAACAAGTGGGATCAAGATCTTGAAGAATTTCTTTGAATAACAGTAGCAGGAAATGAAACATGGCTTTACCAGTACAATCCAGAAGACAAAGCACAATCAAAACCATAGCTACCAAGAGATCAAAGTGGTCCAGTTTAAGCAAAAATGGATGGGACAGGGATACAGGTCATTCCAACAGTTTTTTGGAATGCTCAATGCATTTTGCTTTTCTGGAAGGCCAAAGAACTATAACATCTTATTATGAGAGTGTTTTAAGAAAGTTTTCCAAAGCTTTAGCACAAAAATGCTCAGGAAATCTTCACCAACAGTTTATGAGTCCCTTTCTCACAACAAAGCTCTTGTTCATTCCTCTCATCAAACAAGGGGAAGTTTTCAAAGGTTTCAATGGTAAATAATTAGGCATTCACATTACAATCTTGATTTGGCTCCTAATTTAAAAAAATCTGTAAAGGGCACCCATTTTTCTCCAGTTAGTAAAGTAAAAAAGACTGCATTGACATGGTTAAGTTCCCAGGACCTTCAGTTCTTTGGAATGGACTAAATGGCTGGTACCCTTGCTCACAAAAGTGTCTCTAGTTTGATGGAGCTTTTGTTTACAAATAAAGTTTATATTTTTAGTTTTTATCTTTTAATTCAATTTTTCCACAAACTTTTTGAAGTTCCTTTGCATGCCGGCCCTTTAATGCCAGTCCTATAATATATACAGTCTTAAGTATATATCCAGCAAAGGCAATTGATACCAATCTGTTATAAAAAGATGAAAACAATAGAAAAGTAAATGAACTTGCAGAGAATAGATTTTGGACGCAAATTTGTTCATGCCCAGCCATAAGCTGGGACACTCAGATACAGTATATCCTCAACATCATCAACAGACTCTTGGGACTTTAAGCAAAATGATGTATAGCAAACCCACTTAAAAAAAAATCAATGTTATAATAAGGCGACATTGAATAAAATGACATTATTTGAGGACCTGCTGTACGTTGTTTTGCTTAAAATTGCAATTTCTAAGAACCTGTCAATGGCAATGAGGACTTCTGTCCTCTATTTAGCTGGACTGAGAATAAAATGACTATTCTATCCCCTAGCTAAGACATATGGTGGAGGGAAGAGAACAAAGAGGGTAAGGCTGGCAGAGAGACAAGATGGAGGGGGCTCAGAGACAGAGGGCATAGACAGATATGTACTAGTCTCCCTCCTAGCCAACACCCTCTTACACTGGTGTTGGCCACAGAGTCATCACTCCACTGCTGGGTGATGAGGTCTTTTTGCCCCTGTAATTCAGTTTCTTTCCATCTTCTTTTCCAAAAGTTACCAGAGAAGGGCTTTGGAGGAAGTCAATCTTGGTCACAAATAATAGCACCACTACTTCTTAACTTACTGTCTTCTGTCTGTCTGTCCCTTCTCTTTTCCAACCATCAAATTTTGAGCACCTTCAATATGCCATGCACTGTGCTAGATGCCAAGGACACAGGGACATGTCAGACACCAGCTCTGCCTTCAAGAAGTTGATGGTGCCATATGAAATGACAGATGTGCTAACAACAGAGTAAAGTACAAAGTCAGAATGAAGCAGAGCAGGAACACTAAACAGGTTCCTGGGGAAAGATGAAAATCAAATTTTCATGGAGGAGGTCAAGCTTGAGTTGAGTCTAGGGAGATGAGAAGACTCTCAGAGGTCAAACAAGGAGGGAAAAGGAAGTTGCTGTGAAGGCAGAGGCAGAGCTACAAGGGCATGAGAGAATTTCAGTGGCCCTGGAAACACAAGGAGTTCAATTTGGCTGGAACTTGGGGATTAGGATGGGGTAGGAGAATAGGCCAGAGAGGTAGGCAAGGGTCAGATTGTTTGGAATGAAACTCCAATGTCTGGACCTTTAGTTATAAGCAAGTGAGGATGACTATAGGGTTTTAAAAGAAAAGATTTGTTTGTTTCTTTGTTTATACACTGTGAAACGACCAGCTCCAAGGTGTACCTAGCTATCAGTTTTGACACATGCATATCAAGGCACGGAACTGTCCCAGCACCCCAGAATGTTCCCACTGCCCCTTCCCGGTCAAACTTTCCTACCTCCAGATGCCAGACTGATCAGAATTCTTCAGCATAGATTAGTTATGCTGATCCTACAATTTTATATGAGTTGAATCATACATTATGTACTTTTTTGTGTCTGTCTTCTTTCACTCAGCATAATATTTTTGGGACTCATCCACGCTGTTGCATGTATCAGTAGTTCATTCTTTTTTACTGCTGAGTACTATCATTATAGGATGTTAAAATGGAAACTGGGGTGGTTATTTCAGCATTTTTGAGTGACAAGATCACTCTGACAGCTAGCTAAGGGAGAGATCGGCATGGAAGGCAAGATGGGGCAGAGGAACCGGTTAGGAGATGAGGGCAGTAATTTGGATGGGGAATGAGAAGGGCTCAAACCAGGACAGCAGCTGGGAGGATGGCGAAGAGGGAGGTATGTGAGGACAGTGAAGGCAATGGTGGCCTCACACCTTGGTCACTAACGGAAGAAGTAGGGAGAGTGGGAGACAGCACTAGCCCCAAGGTTCAGAGCAGAGTTTGTTGGGGGAGAAGAATGAGGTCTGGTTTCCTGTGTGCTCCTGTGAGGTGACCACAGGCATCAGAGATGTCCAGCAACTGAAGAGGGAGACTGCCGCTCAGCAGAAAGTCAGGGCAGGCGGCAGGTAGAGACCTCCACTGACACGAGGCGAGTGAGGCCACGGGGGGCCTGTGCTTGTCCAGGAAGGAGGTGGGTGTGACATGGAGGCCATGACAGAGCTAGCAAAGGCAGAGGGGCAAGAAGAGGCCCACATGACATCTCAGAAGAGTGGAGAATGGGGAGAGTAACTCTGCGAAACCAAGGGAAAGAGCAGCACGAGGATGGAGGGGTGATCAAGAGAGAGCAGGATAAAACACGAAAGTTCCGCTCTGTTTGGAGCCAGGAGTCGGTGGGTGTCTTTTATCAGAGAAACTTCCAGTGGAAATGTGGAGGCAGAAACCAGGTTCCAGTGGACTGAGAGTGAACAGGAGGTGAGGAATTAGAGAAAGGCAAGGCAGTACTTTTGAAGAGCTTGCCTGTGAAAGGAATGAAAGAGCACGCAGGAGCTGACGAAGAAGTGCTTGGGGACCCAGGACCTGTTTCTGTGCTGGGGAAGCAGGGCGGGAGGGCCTGGGAGGAGAGAGGGGATGTGGAGGTCAGTGCAGGGATTCCAGTCACGGCCTCCTTTTCGAATCCTGGTATCTTCAGAGGTAAAAAGCAAATAATAATAGATGCTACTTCACATATTATTGTAAGAATTAAATAAGATGATATGTGAAATCACTGAAAACAGTTCTTGGCACATAGATGTTCAATAAATGCTGGTCTCTCTCTCTGTCTCCCTAGTGCCCCCTCCCTCCCTCCCTGCTTCTCTCCCTCTCTCCCTCTCTCTCCCCACTCTCCCTCTCTCTCGCCCTCTCTGTCTCAGTCTCTCTCTCTCTCTCTCTCTCTTGCAACTTCTTCACTTCCCTTGAAACCAAGAACTTTGCTCACAGACCTGTGTGTACTCACCTAGAGCCCCAGGTCCTGAGCCCCTTAGCTGCTCTGAACCCCTCATCTCCCACCCAGGGGAAAGGTACATACATGTTAAATACCAGGGCGATGACGTAGTCTGGCGAGACAGTCACTTTCCAGTCACATTCTTTGCCTGGTGGGTAGGGCTCTGGGTAATTTGGTGACAGGATGACTCCTGATGGTCCTGTTAGGTCTCCTCCACAGGGAGCTGAGGAAAGAAGATGGAGACAAGGCTATCCCTTTACCCTGGCCACATTTTTTTTTAGATTGGAAAATATAGTTTATTTAAAAAGTAAATTAGAAAGGGGGAGAGAGAGAGACAGAGAGAGAGAGAGAGAGAGAGAGAG